CTACACAGGGACACCCAATGCCCCCCCACCCACATGGGAACAGCCCACCTGGCCCCAAATGGGGACAGCCCCCCCAGGACCCAACATGGGGACACCCAATGCCCCCCCACCCACACAGGAACAGCCCCCAGGACCCCAAATGGGGACAGGCCCCCCAGGACCCCACACGGGGACACCCAATGCCCCCCGCCCACCTGGGGACAGCCCCCCCGGCCCCCCCCGGGGTCACCCACCAGCACTTTGCCGTTGATGCACTGGGCCAGGGGCAGCCACTCGAAGACCTCGCTGAAGAGGGCGAACATCTGCGCCGTGTACTTGGCCTTCACCTCCCCTTCGAAGCCGTAAATCTGGTTCATGTTGTCCGTCTCGTGGTTCCCTGGGGGGACACGAAGCGGGGGGGCCCCCAAAATCAGCCCCGAGGATTAGGGACACGCCGGGCAGCCGGGACAGGGGGCGAGGCGCTGAGGATGTGGGATGGGGGAGCCAGGGGGAGCGCGGCCTCTCGGTGGAGGACGGGGACGTGGGGCAAGGACGAGGCACCGGTGACATTGGCTCAGGGAATCCTGGGGATGGGGCAGCCCCAGGATGTCCCCCAAAAGGGACACGGGGCATGGCGCTGCGGCAGGGGACATGTGGCAGCCCTACAACCAAGGACAGGGGACGAGGCCCCAAAACATGGCCCCAAAACCCAGGACAGGGGACAAGTCCCCAAAACCCAGCCCCACAACCAAGGATGGGGGACGAGTCCCCAAAACCCAGGACAGGCAACGAGTTCCCAAAACCCAGCCCCACAACCAAGGACTGGGGACGAGTCCCCAAAACCTGGCCCCAAAACCCAGGACAAGGGGCAAGTCCCCAAAATCCAGGACAGGGGACAGGGGACAAGTCCCCAAAACCCAGCCCCACAACCAAGGACAGGGAACGAGTCCCCAGAACCCAGGACAGGGGACAAGTCCCCAAAACCCAGCCCCACAACCAAGGACAGGGAACGAGTCCCCAGAACCCAGGACAGGGGACAAGTCCCCAAAACCCAGCCCCACAACCAAGGACAGGGAATGAGTCCCCAAAACCCAGGACAGGCGACGAGTCCCCAAAACCCATCGCTGCAGCCAAGAGCGGGGCACACAGCCTTGTGGCCCCAGGCATGGGACCCAATCCCAGGATGTGGGGACAAAACCCCACAGCCAGGGCTGCTCAACGTAACCCCACAACCTGCCCCATCACACCCAGCACCCGTGGTGGCCCCGTTACCTCGCAGCAAGTGGAAGTGATCGGGGTAGAGCAGCTTGAAGCCGAAGAGCGTGAGGATGACCTCGACCGAGAAGGAGCCGCGGTCCACGAAGTCCCCGTTGAATATCTGCGGCTGGTTCAGGAAAAAAAAAAAAAAAAACACTTTTCCCCCTTTTCCCCACCCCACCCCGCCACGTCCCCTCGGCCGGGGGGGGATACGTAGGGGTTGGACTCGGAGGGCAGCCCGTTGAGCTCGAAGATGTTCAGCAGGTCGTAGTACTGCCCGTGGGTGTCCCCGCACACCGTCAGCTTCTCCGTCTGCGTTCGGGATCAAACGTCACCACCCAGAATTTGGAGGGGGGGGGGAACCTCCAAATGGCCCCCCCACCCCCCAACAAGGTGGTCCCAGCACCCGGCGAGGGGGGCACCCACCTCCTTCAGCGTCGTTTCTACCAAGGTGGGCAGCTTGGCCAGCACCTCCTTCACCTGCACCAGGATCTGCTGGGGCAAACGGGCAGCGGGGACAGGGGGGGGGGACACACAACGGGGGACATGTGGCACTCCGGGGACGGGGTCGTCCCCACCGAGGGGCTTGGGGGGGGTTTTGGGAGAAGTGGGGCACCTGGTAGGCGCATTTTCTGTGGAGTTTCTTCTGCTCCTTGTACCACTGCATCAGGTCCTTCATGAAAGCCAGCGTGACTTTGCCGTCCTCCAGCTTGGGGCCGCTGTACTCGTCCTCGATGGCTGCAAAACGAGGCCCCCCCCGAAACCCCCCCCGGCAGCTGGTGACACAAGGGGACAACGGGGACAAGTTGGGGTGCTCGCAGGCACCCCGAGGCCCTCCTGAGGACCCCAAAACTCTTCTGGTGACCCTCGCGGGGACTCCGAGACCACCACAGGGACCTCGTGGGTCCCTCAAGACCCTTCAGGACCCCCCCCCCTGCAGTTCCTCAAGGTTCTCACTGGAACCCAGAGCCTCAACCTGGGACCCCAAAGCCCCCCCCAGGACCCTTCCAGGTGATCCTGAGGTTTTGCCAGGGATCTTCGCGGGGATCTGCCCCCCCCAAGATCCTCATGGGGGCTCTGAGCCTCCAATGGGGCCTCTCAAAAGGACTCCAAGACCCCCAAGGAGACCCCAGGCCTCTGCTAGGACCCTTCACAGCCCCCCACAACCCCTGTGGGGACCCTGAGCCTTCCGTGGGGGCACGCACAACCCCAATGAGACCCCCACAGCCATCCGAGACCCCCTAGCAGAGCCCCAATCTCCCCCAGGCCCCCCAGAGCACCCGGGACCCTCCGAGAGGACCCTAAACTTTTAGCAAAGACCCCAACCCCCCCCGCCAAGCAGCTCCAGGACCCGTTTCTCCTGCCCTGCCCCTAAAGAAAGCAGCATCTGGATTTCGGGGTGGGGTGGGGCGGGGGGGGGGGGACACGGGGAGAGCCTCACTCATGCTCTCGATGTCGAGGGAGTCGACGACGGAGCGCTTCTGCTCGTCGCTGGCGATGGCCCGCTCGAAGGCCTTCTGCTTGACAATTTTGTTGCACTCCTGGTACTTCAGCTTGGCGTCCTTGTCATTCGGCCTCACCTTCACCACCTGCGGGGCCCAAGGCATCAGGGGACGGGGACAGGGACACGCGCCCCCCCCTCAAACCCCCCCCAAGGTCCCCGAGGATTTCTCTGCCTGCAGGCGGACGCGCGCCCCAAGGCACCCCACAGCTCTGATGGTCAGGGAGGGGAACAAGGGGGGGCCCTGACAGCACTCAGGGGGCATCAGGAGGTCCCCAGGTGGCCCCAAAATTTTAGGGCATGTGGAGAGGGGGGCGATAAGGCCCTCAGCGGGCAGGGAACTCACTAACAGCGTGGGGACGGACACAAGGAAACCCTCACGCTCGTTTTTTTTTTGGAGGGGGGGTCTGAGACAGCTCCCCAGAGCCCCCCTCCTCATTTTTGGGTGCCGTCAGCACGGCAGGGAGGCTCTCCCAGCCCTCCTGGACAACCCACAGGGCTACCCCCACCAACAGCCCCCAAGGGCTGCTCCGACACTGGGCGGGGATCCCCGAACCGCTGAAAAAAAAGGTAAAAAAAAGACAAAACAAAGCCCCCAAGCCCCCCCCCACTCCAGCCTCACCGTCTCGTAGTCACGCAGGGCGGCCTTGAACTTGCCCAGGGCCATGTTGCTGGTGGCGCGGCGGTAGTAGCCCTTGACGTACTTCTTGTCCAGCTCGATGGCTCGCGTGGCGTCGGCCAGGGCGTAGCCGTAGCACTCGGTGCGCATGTAGGCCAGGCTCCGGTTCCCATAGTAGATGGCGTTGCCGGGGTTCAGCTCGATGGCGCGGCTGTAGAACTCCACCGCCTTCTCATAGTCCTTCCCTGGGCCACCGGCGGGCGTCAGCGGGGAGGGAGCACGGGGTGAGACACCCCCCCAACCCCCCCCCAAAAAAAAAAAAAAACAACCCCCCTCACACACTCACACACACCCCAGGGGCTTGCCATGTGCTGCTCGGTGCGGCGGCTCTGCCGAGCGCCGCGTCCCCCTCCCCTAATTGGGGCTCTTCTCTCGAATTGCCTCCCTATCTGGCAGCCCCCTTCCCTCATTGCCCTCAATAGCTCCCTATCTGGCAGCCCCCTCTCCTAACTCACCCCAAAAGCTCCCTGTCTGGCAGCCCCCTCCCCTCACTCACCACAAAAGCTCACTGTCTGGCAGCCCTTTTCCTCACTGACCCCAATAGCTCCCTATCTGGCAGCCCCCTCCCCTTCACGGCCCCAAAAGCTCCCTATCTAGCAGGCCCTTTCTCCTCATTGCCCTTAGTGGCTCCCTATCTAGCAGCCCTCTCACCTCCCTGACCCCAAAAACTCCCCATCTGGCAGCCCTCTTCCTCATTGCCCCCCCAACAGCTCCTTATCTGGCAGCCCCCTCCTCTTAGTAGCTCCCCATGTGGCAGCCCCCTGCCCTCATCGCCCCCAATAGCTCCATATTTGGCAGCCCCCTGCCCCCAGCAGCTCCCTATCTTGCAGCCCCCTGCCCCCACTGCCCCCAATAGCTCCCTATTTGGCAGCCCCCTCCCCTCATTGCCCCCAATAGGTCCCTATCTTGCAGCCCCCTGCCCCCATTGCCCCCATGAGCTCCCTATTTGGCAGCCCCCTCCCCTCATTAGCTCCCTATTTGGCAGCCCCCTGCTCTCATTGCCCCCAATAGCTCCCTATCTGGCAGCCCCTTGCCCTCATTGCCCCCAATAGCTCCCTACCTTGCAGCCCCCTCCTCTCATTGCCCCCACCAGCTCCCTATCTGGCAGCCCCCTCCCCTCCTTAGCTCCCTATCTGGCAGCCCCCTGCCCCCATTGCCCCTAATACCTCCCTATCTGGCAGCCCCCTGCCCCAAGCAGTTCCCTATCTGGCAGCCCCCTCCTCTCATTGCCCCTAGCAGCTCCCTATCTTGCAGCCCCCTGCCCCCATTGCCCTTAATAGCTCCCTATTTGGCAGCCCCCTCCCCTCATTAGCTCCCTATTTGACAGCCCCCTACGCCCTCATTGCCCCCAGTAGCTCCCTATCTGGCAGCCCCTTGCCCCCATTGCCCCTATGAGCTCCCTATCTGGCAGCCCCCTGCCCCAAGCAGTTCCCTATTTCCCCACTATTTCCCCCTATTTCCCCCCTAGTTCCCTTTTCCCCACCCCACCCCGCCACGTCCCCTCGGCCGGGGGGGGATACGTAGGGGTTGGACTCGGAGGGAGAAACCCCTGGGGGGGGACATGGACCCCCCCCTCTGGGGTGGGGTGACACCGTGTGTGTGTGTCCCCATGTCCCCCCCCCCCCCGTGTCCCCGCAGGGCATGGCGGAGCTGCACGTCATCAGGCAGCTGGTGGGGGCCAGCGGCTTCCCCCAGCGCAGCCTCTTTTGCAAGTGGGGGCTGCACGCCGGTGAGGGGGGGGCACAGGGTGACAACAGGTGACAACATCGACGTCCACTACGTCACCAAGGGCCTGCAAGGTGCGTCCCCAGAGTGTCCCCATATTGTCCCCAGGGTGTCCCCAAATAGCTCCCAAGGTGTGTCCCCAAATAGCCCCCAAGGTGTCCCCAATGTGCCTCCAGATTGTCCCCAAATTATCCCCAGAGTGTCCCCAAAGTGTCACAAAATAGCCCCCAAGGAGGGGGCTCCCCTCTGGAGCTCTCCTCAGGCCCTCCCCCCGGTACCCGCACGTCCCTCGGGAGCCCCCTGAGCACCCCCAGACCCTTCTGAGCACCCCCAGAGCCCTCCTTAGGGCTCTCCCCTGCACTCCCGCATCCCTAGGGAGCTCTTTGACCACCCCTGAAGCCCTCTGAGCACCCCCAGACCCCTCTGAGCATTCCCAGAGTCCCCAAAGCCCTCCTCAGGGCTCCCCCCATTACACCCCGTTCCTCAGGAGCCCTGTGAGCACCCCCAGACCCCTCAGAGCACTCCCGGACCCCACCCCCTCGGCCCCCCCCACGCCCCTCGGAGCCTGGCCCCGACCCCATCTCCCTCCCGAGCCCCCCCCCCTCCCCAGGCGGCCCCCACCTGGCAGCCACAACTTGGGGCGCAGCAGCACCTCCAGCGTCGCCCTCTCGGGGCTCTCCTTTGAGCCCCGCACCTCCGCGGGGCCGTACAGCCCGGCCAGCACCGAGGTGTCACCTGCGCGAAGGGGGACACAGAGGGGACGGCACTGCCACCGGGCCCCGAAAAACCCCGGGGACAGAACAATAATGGATGATGCTCAGAGGGCCTTACGGGGCGAGTGAGCTTTCCAGAAACACCTTTTACCCTGATCTCCTGGGAGGCAGCAGACTTCTCCATGGGTTGGGTCAGGCCGGCATATGCGGCCCTCTGTTCTGCTCAGAAGGGAGTCACTTATGACAGTAACCCTTCTCTTCTTCTTGATGGAGGTGGTCGTGATACTGGGGAAGGCTGACTTGCCCTAGAAAACCCCTCCAACCTGGATGGACCTTCATGCACATCATCGTTTGTGTGTCCATTACTTCCAGAGTCTGTTGTTTCAGGGCACCTGAAAGGAAGGTGAGGTAGGCAAGGAGGGGTTCGCCTGCTGCCCCGAGCAGATCTAAACTTCCATCCCTTCGTCACTGAGATGCACTCCTTCTGCCTGATGGCCAGAGGGTAGGGGATCCTCCATTTCCTCTGCTGTGTCTGCCTGACGCATCTGTCCCAGGGCTGGCACAGTACAGTTCAACCTTCTCCGACTCCCTGGTGCTCCTCAGCCTGCCCACCTCCTCCCGAAGCTCTGCCAGGAGGCTGAGCAGTTCTTCTACCTGGGCGCACCTACCACAGGTGGACTCACAGGATGGGATGTCAGGAAGAATTTCTTCATGCAAAGGGTGGAACCGGCTGCCCAGGGCACTGCTGGAGTCCCAGGCCTGGAGCTATTAAAGAAATGCGTGGACTTGGCGCTAAGGGCCGTGGTTTTGTGGTGGGCCTGGTGGTGTTAGCTGACGCTTGGACTTGAGCTGAAGGCCCTTTTCCAAGCGCAAGGGTTCTGTGACTCTTTCACTGGTTGAGTAGGCGCCATGCAGTCACCGGGCCCAGGGAAAAGACGTCCTTGGTGGCCTCCAAGTTAGCTCAGCGTCATGGCACCGAGTCACTGTGAAGGAGCTGCTGGAATAACGAGACAACAACCTAGTTCTATTAAAATATATATTGCTCTTTTGAGGACTGCTGCGGGGCTAGCAGCAGCGGCAACACGGCAGTGGAAATCTCCGTCCTGACGTTGCGGTATGCCTTGACGTCAGATTCACGGTGGTTTCAACTGCCAGGGAACGGACCATGGGTTCCGGGTCTTTCTCTGAAGGCTGGAGGACTGCAAAAGAAAGAAGAGCAGAGATGAAAACCCACTCCTTGCAGAGATCCCCAGGCATCCCCTGCAGAGCATGCCAGCCCCACTCGACTCTTCCCCAGGCCAGGAGGAGCAGGAGGGACAAAGGAATCCGTTGAAAGCTGCTGCTCAGCAATGTCCCAAATGCAGCCACCAGTCCTTCCCCACCTGCGCACCACAGGTCAAGTGGGGCACCTTCACAAGCTGGTTCCCTCACCACCTGCCTCCATCCCTTGGGAGGATTCACACACTCCAGGAATCTCCTGGACTCTTTCCTCTCGCTATTGTGCTTCCCCATGAGAGCAAGGGCTAGCAATCGTGACCCTGCTCCTAGCTGCTTGTAGGCTGTCTCATCTCCCTCTTCGTCCTGGTTGCGTGCTCTACAACAGGCTCCCACCTTCTGTCAGCCTTACTGCCCTTTCCCCTGACTCTTCCTCAGGGACACTCAACCCTTTCAGCGGCACTGCCCAGCTCCAGGCTGGGAGGCCATTCCCTGACACCACAGGCTACCCCGTCTCCTCTCCCTCGTTCCTATGGCTGCATTGCTCCTCCGCCCCGAAGCATTTCCCTGGAGCAGGGCAAGGCACGGGGGCCTCTGCCGCTGTCCCCCCAGCCCTAGCACACCCCCCACTGCCCTCACTCACCGCTGAGGATTTCATTCAGCTTCTCCTCGCTCTGGTCCTTGCAGTAGCGCGCAGCAAGACCTAGACACAGAGACCCCATCAGAGCCCCGCTCCCCAGCACGCTCCCAGCAGCGCAGCCCCTGGCCTGGCCAGCCAGGCTGTGCCCCCTCCTGCACCCTGGAGCAAGGGCCCAGTCGGGGGGCTCTGGGGGCAACAGGGCAGTGCCTGGGGCTGCCAAAGACTGCCCCAAGAGGGACCCAGGGGCTGGGCTCACCAATGAATCTGACGGCCTCAAGTCGCAAGTCGGTCTGAGTGTCCTGCAGGTAGGGCTGGCTCTGCTGCAGGTATTCTTCTACTCTGCCTCTGTCCTGCTGCAGCTGGAGAGAGAGAGAACGCAGGGTCACGGGGCTTGCACACCCTCTCCAGGGTCTCCTCCAGCATCCTGGGGGCAGGGAGGGCAGAGGGGCCTGCAGAAGAGCCCCCTGGGGCTCTGTGCTGGCAGGAAGGGAGCGAGGATGCGGCTGCAGGCAGCGGGCTCTGGCCGGGCACGTTTGCCCAGCTGGGGCAAACCAAGTTGGGTCCTTACCAAGCACTCCCCGATCCTCCACGTCTGTTCTGTCTGGGCCAAGCGCTTCGAGCTCCTTGCGTCGCAGAAACTCTGCAGCCACGGCGAGAGCTTCCCCAGAGGCCTGCGGAGCAGCAGAGGTTGGGAGGTAGCAGCACAGCCTTGGGAAGGAGACCCTCTGTCCCCTCCTCTTGGCAGGGCTGCGAGCCTTTCCCAGCGCGTTATGGGAGGCTGTGGTGGGGGGCAGCGTGCACTGGGTTCAGTGGCCAAGGCAAGGCCACGGGACAGCCACCATCAGAGGCAGCTCACAATGAGAGAGATCCCAGAGATCACAGCCAGAGATCAGAGGCTGGACTCGATGAACTTGAGGTCTCTTCCAACCTAGAAATTCTGTGATCCCCCAGAGCAACCCTGTGGCATCAGCACACCATTGCCCACATAACTGCTCAGCTCTGAGATCTGTACCTTTGCTACGCTCTCACTCTGGTCTCTCCTGTGAAAGTAGAGTGGGAGAAGGCTCCTGCGCACTGTCCTCTTCATTTTCTTCTTCCTTTGCCACAGCACAGCCTCCACCACGGCTTGGAAGAGGCAGATGGAGTGCTCCCGCACCTGGCTGGACGCCTGGCAGGGAGGAGGACAGGAGGAATTTCAGCATTAGCTTGGCTGATGTGAAGGGAGCTCCCAGCACTGTGAGATGCTTCAGCGCTGGATCCTTCCCAGAGGAGCTGCTCAGGGGCAGCTGCAAGGCCTGGTGCCCGTGAAGGGCAACGCAATCGGTTGCCATCGCAGGCTGCCCGCCAGCCACCCCACTTTCGCCACCAGCCGCACCAGCCATGCCCAAGCAGAGCTCCCCAGCGCCTGGGCTGACGAGGAGACTGGGAAGGCCCTGCCTGAGTGCTGCCCACAGGGCCGGGCTGAAGGGCAGCCCTCGTTACAGGGGGCCCAGCTGAGGGCTCGGGCTCCCGCAGCACACTTACGTGGTCAAAGAGTGGCAGGAGCTTCTCAGCCAGCTGCAGAGCCGGGCCACTGGCCTTCCTCCTCTCCACATGAGCCATCACGTTTTTCAGCACAAGCAGGGCCTTCAGCACCATGTCTGTGTTGGTGTCCTGCAGGGCCCCCAGGATGTCTGGCAGCAAGACCTGAATTTTCCTTGCCTGTAGGAAAGACACCATTTCCCTTCCGTGAGGCAGTGAGAGACCACCCTGGGCAAAGGGCTCTGGTTCCTGAGCACCAGCCTCCTGCCTTGCTTCCTGGCAGCGGGGAGGGACGGGAGGGCAGAAGAGCAAAGCCCCAGGCTGCCAACATGGCTTTGCTTGACGATGGCCCGCTCACCTTCTTAGGGCTCTCTGACACGGTGCAGAGCCCTTCCAGAACCAAAAAGCGAATCTCTGGGCTTGGGTGCCTCAGGTAGCTCTGGAGGTGCACTGGGTTACCAAAGTCCTCCTCAGAAATGTGATTCTGGGCCAGCATCTGCAAGAAAGAGCAGTGAGAGCCTGGCAGGGCCTGCAGGGCTCCCTGCAGCCTCTTCTTCTCCCACCTTTGGGCAGGGATGGGGCAGCGCCAGCTGGCACCAAAGAGGCACCAGGCGCGGGGAGCTACGGGGGCTTGCCGGCCCCAGGGACCATGTGTCCGTACGTCCTGCGGGAGCTGGCAGTTTGGGGGTAGATGGGCACAGGGCTGTGCCTGTGTGCCTGAAGGGGCACACGTAGCCCTGCTGGGAGCAAGGTTTCATCTGGGAACTCACAGCCAAGCGACGGATGCAGGTGTCTTCGGTGACTGCGGTGCACCAGTTGCGCAGCGGCAAGTCTCGCATCATGATTCTTGAAACATTCTCCCAGGTCTTCGGCATGGCCAGGATCACCTCCCACATGGCCAGGTCAGTGCTGCAAGCCCAGAATACTCTGTCAGTGAGGCTGCCTCAGCCGCAGGGCCACAAACTGGGCCAGCCCCAGAGGACCCAGGCTGTCCTGCAGCCCCTGTGACCTGGGGAGCACTGAGGGCCCAGCCTGGGCAGGCAGGAGGGGGCTGAGCTGGTGTTCCCTGGGGGCAGGGGGACTCTGGGCTGCCTTGGACAGCTGGGCTGCTGCAGCCCTGGCTGGCCCAGTAGGGCTGGAACACATTGGTGGGAAGGAGGGCTGTGCTCCTTGGGGATGTCCTGCTCTTTGCCATTGGTGTGGCAAGCAGAGAGTCTCCAGGTGCATCTCCCGACGCGGAACAAGCCCTCAAGGATGTTAAGGCCAGGACCTGTCACATGGCGGAGAGAACTGCAGCAGGTTCTTGATTTCTTCCCTGGACATCATGTTGGTCATCTGGAGAAGCAGGGAGTCCAGGCACTGCCGCGCCGATGCCGTGTGGATGCTGCCCAGGTTTCTCCTGATGCACTCCATGATTGTTGGCACCTTGGGGGACAAAGTGGGAATGGTGTTGCCAGCAGACCGCAGCCATTGCCACAGCTGCCATTCAAACTTTGGCCCCTTCCATTGCTCTCTGCTGGCTTCAGGTGGCTTCTGGAGCCCAAGAGACCCTGATGTGCGAGGGAGGCAGGGAGGGAGGCAGGGACGGAGAGAGGAACAACGCCTGGGAGAGCTCAAGGGCAGGGCCATGGCCACAGGCCACTTACATCTGTCAGCCAGTAGTCAGGGACCTCCAAGGCTGCGTCCAGCACGCTGCAGGCCCCCTGCTTGTCATGGATGCTGGAGTCTTGTAAAGCTTCCAGGGCTGTGAGGATGATGTCCAGCCTCTCAGCAGGGAAGAGATGTCCTCCAAACCCCTGTGGGAAGAAGGAGGAGCGAAGACATGCCTCACTGAGTGTCCCAAGGGTGCTGCTTAGCTGAGCAGCAAGGGCAGCTCTGGAGAGAGGGCCCTCGGGGGAAGGGGTGAGGATGGGGCATATGGGGCCAGAGTGCTGGCCCTGCAGGTAACCAGGGCTTGCTGGTGGCCAGGAGGGCTGGAGCTGCTGCCGGGACACAGGGGAGCAGCCTTCGCATAGCCCCAGCCTGGGGACAAGAGGAACCCTCTCAGCAGGGCGAGTGAGGCCGTGCCAGCCCCACCGGTTCTGGACCCCTTTGCTCACACGAGATGCCTGCTGATGCTGCGGACAAGATCCCCAGCAAGGCCAGAGCTCATTACCTTGGCAATTTCACACGGAGTTGATGTTGTAGAAAATGGAAGTTTTGCATACTCCAATTTCTTGTGTCTCTCTGCATAATTTACCATGTCCGCTCTCAATATGCATTCTAAACAGGGGGAAACAGCGAAGAGTCAGTAGGGAAGAGCATCTTTGCCAACAAGCTTGCCAAATGGTGAAAAGCACTTTCACTAGGAATGGCTGAGGAGGGAGGCTCAGACCCACGGCGAGGAGAGTGGTGGGCAGGGATGTAAAGCACAAGGTGAGGAGTGCTGGGAGCAAGAGGGACCTCAGGGATGATGCAGAAGGACGAGAAGCAATGGCGTTGGGTGCCGTGGGGGTAGCAGCGTGTCACAGACCCCTTCTGCTCGGGGTCAGGATGTGCAGGAAGCCCCCTGACACCTGCCTTTAAGACGGCAGGGAGCAAACAGTCAGGGAGCATTCTGGAGGGTGTCACCATCCCTGGTGATGCACGGCTGGCTCTGCTGTTCACTCCTCAGAGAAGATGTGGTTTGGGAAGTGCTCATCGATTGATGGCTTAGACTGGGGGACACCACAAAACAGCGTGGTAGGTGATCTGGGGAGGGTTGGGAAGGACAGCAGCAGAGAACTGCTCCTGGACGGCAGGTGAGCGTCTAGCTTCTGCGAAAAACGATAGCCAGAATGCTGCGGGAAGCTGCTGTGAGGAGCAGAGGAGGCCAGGGAACCTGGCAGAATTCCGTGGGCAGCCTCCACCAAGCACAAAAACAATCCTTCACAATACTCAGGAGAACAGGCAGACAAACCAGCAGATGTCTGTGTGAAGATGGACATTGCCCACCACACCTTCTTACCTCTTCCTTCTCTGACGACTGTGTACATGCGATGAAGACTTTCCAAAGCTGAGTGTCTCATGGAATCATCGCCACTGCTGAAAAGCAAGAGGTGGCCCAGCAGCTTGCCCAGGATGGGGATGCGCAGGATGAAATCTGTGGGCTCATCGTTGCCATAGTTTTCAAAGTTCCCTAAGATCTGTTTGAGGAAGGGAGGAGAGACAAAGGGCTTAGTGGAGGCAGAGCCAGCCCCTGAGAGAGCACGGCCTGGGGAGGGAAGAGCAGGGGCAAAGGAGGGACGAAGACCCTCGCTTCACAGTGCTGAGGCTCTCACGTGCGTTGAGGCTTGCCTCACAGGCACCCTTGCA